GCTAAAGCAGATCGATGATCGATCCGATTATATTGTCTCTTTTCGTAAGAGATGAGCAACTTAAAATAAGATTTTCGATTCGATTTCGGAAAAGTATGATCAATTGATGATTGAATGAACTTTCATGGATTCCGTGATGATTCCATGATGTGGACACTTGTAGATATCATATCCTTATCATTTCATTCAACAGTGTTATGTCACACTTTAAGCGCTTTCCCGTCTCGTATCATATTTATTCGATTTGGTAAACAGTTGCATCAATAGTACCTATTATCAATCAAGTTTTACCAAGTTTGCCGACTCAAGTAACCATTGGGTGCATTGTACGCTTGACGTTTATCGTTATCATTCTTGTCTCACCCGTAAAAAGATCAGCAATATTACCCGTACTATGATCATTTTGTACGTCATTCCTTATCAATCCTTATCAAATACAAACAATACTTTGATGCTTCACCTAAAAGTTCAGTAATAATTCATCTGCAGTCGTTATATTAGTGCAACTATATGTACATGGTATCAAGTGCGTATGATTCACGTGTGATGTGTGCATCAACTACAAAAATCCCAATAACCTTATCACTGATAACAGGTCTTGTCAGTTGTGGTCGTTTACAAATTAATGGCGCCCACATGGAAAGCGTTGTATGCAGCAGAACGTGTCAAATCAGCAGTTCGTGACCATGCAGATCAAGTGGTCTCACTCTCGTCATCATCACCTACGTCAAAAGCTAAAGTCGTCTCGCTAGGAAATTCAGGTTTGTACTCATCGATCAATCCGTTCTGCATCTTCTCTTCTCGACTTGTTCTCGAGACTTCTCGAAAGCCTCGAAAAATCTGAAAGAAGTCTCCAATGACTCATCTTCAAGACCTCGAAGTGCATTTTGGAATCATCTACACATACACTGCACTGTAAGAGTTATTCTATTTTGCTTTTGTGACTTACCATTTGTCAGCACTATGATTTCATGAGCATTGCACTGGGCAGTATGCTCTTCATAAATTTGTTTGTTTGCGTATCAGCTTAATTGTTGCACGTTTGATGAAAATAGATTAACGTAAGTATCATATGTGTAATGTTTGCGGTGCGATGCAATCGGTTTATCGGAACCTCTCTCTGTTGTTGGAGTTTAGCCTGTCTCGGTTCGAAAAGAGAAAACGGCCGAATCAAAGGCGATAGACAACGGAAGAGACAGAAAGGAGAGCGGGGGTATTCCCCAGTATCGTAGGGCAATGACTCTAAATACTTAAGTAAACATAAACAGGTCACACTTATCAATGAATGTGCTGTGCATTCGATAATCATTAAACATCGATAGTTTCCTTTGCATAAGAATAATTATCACTACTGCTATTAAAATAAGCGTTACAATCGTAAAACTTAACACATTTCATCTTTTATCGTTTAAGCATATGCTTGCTCTTACAAATAGTGATAGTGATGTTCACTCATAATAATTAACATACTGAGGTATATGAATACATAACCTATATTTGTGCCTAATTTCCTACATGATAGCTCATTACATTATCACTGATAAATGTGATAACAATAAGAAGTGATTATACGCCCGCAAGTAATATCTACGATAGGATAGATTTGATATTCACTATGGTAACGTCCATATTCAGCATGTTTGCTGCAACATACGAAGTTCTAAGGTAACGTGTTAATTTCCCTAATTTTAATCGCAGTTAACTCAAGCATGTTCGACGATAGAGCGATAATGACAAGATTATTTTACTTTTAAGGTGTCGGTAAGACGAGTATAATCTACCATCAAAGGTATGGCAATGATCTGAACAGTGCTCACAACGCTACAATCGGAGCCTCGTTTGTCACTTGTGAAGCGTAAGTTCTATTGAATTTTCAAAATCGCTTCTCCTATACATCGACAACAATTGTCTTCTTGACAACGCTCGTATTTTTGAAGAATGCCAACTAAACGCTTTTCATTCTATCTGTTGATCATAAACGAAGATATCTTAGATGATCTTCGAAGATGGTCAATTTTTAGTGATGTTGGAGGCGAATCGATTCAGTTGCAAATTTGGGACACAGCTGGCCAGGAGCGTTTTCGGTGTATGGTACCGATGTATATGCGGAATGCGGCTGCTGCGCTGATAGTTTATGATATTACTTCACGGAAATCATTTAATGATGTCGAAAAATGGATCAAAGGTTTGCTCATCACGATAGATATCAAACAAGATAGTGTCTCATATTTTTGAGTTATCTCACCACTTCCCTCTTATAAAATTGTGTATA